TCTACTAACTAGCTGACATTGATCAGCAGGTCTTGTTCTATCAAAATCCGCTATCAAACCTTTTCTGACCCGATCATTGTACGAAACCCTTCTTTTAGGGTCCTGGCTTCCGGACTATTAAGCATGCTGGGATATAAAATGGCGGCCGAAGAGTGAACGTCCCAAAGGAACGCCTGTGAATGACACGACACCGCATGGAGGATATCTTTTGGAAGAAAATGCTCTTACGATCAAAATGGTAGCAAGAAATAGAGTGAAAACCATATTTTATAATTCGAAGTGTCGAGGGAAAAGTTTCTCTTGACATTTAATGGGAAGAAGTCGATGAGAAGTATCGCGATCGAACACGTGGCCCGACATAGCACTGTTGACTTGAAATGGAATTGTTTCTCTTGAGTAGCTATCTAGTTCAACTGATTTTAAGCGCGAAAGGAGATGATAAGGAAAAATGATTTAGTGCAAAGGCTCCCAATGGATGTATCAATGAAGCTGGACACAGTATGATTGTGTAATTCATTCATCAAGACAGGTCAAACATCAGGTGAGAACGTATGTATTAGTTTATGCCGTAAACGTCCTTCTTTTTTCTCTTTGGCAGGCAAATTCTTATTACACTGCTTATTAAAAAGCTTTAAAAGACAATAAAAGGCAAAAAAGCCCTGAAGGTGCTGTCATTGAAGCGTATCAACAGATGTGTTGTGAAATGATATCATATTAATTAAATATAAATAATGGCAATTATAAGGTTATTTCCCATTTGATTAATTAAAGGGCGAAATGTCCAGACGAAATTTTTCCTTTAATATTACATAGCGCGTGCTTTAATTCTGTGGTAATCATATAGAGGTTAACCTCGAGAATAACCATGTAACTTTTATCTTTTGCCTTTCAACCACATGGATATTCTGCTTGGTAGGCAGTGCAGAAACACAGTTTCCTTATTTTTGAAATTACATGTATTTACATGTGGGAACATACATTGCCTCAAGTAAAATGGCATCAGCTTTGAAAGGATTCTCCAAGCTGCCGGGAGGAGATAGCACTTTTAGTATTATATAAATTTACATGTCATACTTTCGGATGGTGTTTTTGAATGAATTGAATAATTCTAGATCTGCCATGCCCCATTCTTTAAGGAAGGCATTTCTTTATCTATATAAAAACAGCCCTATCATTGCTGCATGGCAAAAGTAACATAATCATTTATCTCCATTTGATCAGGTAAAATTTATTTCTTTTCCAGGTAGTTGAACAGAGTTCGCAAGACTTTCTTGGAAGCTGTTACCACGGATCTTCCATTGCTGCTCTTTGAACTAAGAACACTGTGAAGACCATCATATCCTCCCCTTGCATGAATAAGTCGTATTTGATGGAGATTCAAACCTGAACCTGCAATTCGTTTGGCCATTGCATTTGTCAAAATCTTATCTGCAACCAGGGATTTAAAAGATGGTAAATTAACAGTTTCCCTTTCATAATGCTCAAGAGATTGACTGACAAAGCCCACTGTAAAGCTGTGCACTGAAAGAGAGGAACATGAAGGATTGTGATAAAGAAGTAGATCCCTAAGAGATTTCACATCCTCAAGGCTGTTATGGAAGTCATAACTTTTGTTCAAGCAGTCCTTCACCAGACTCTCCTGTTTGTAAGACTGCCTGCCTGGCAATAACTTCTTGAATAATGGTAGTGTGTCAACAAATCCCATTACAACTGACTGAAACGAATCCAACAAATTCTCTTTAAACAATGCCTTTACTAAAATTCTAGAGTCAAACACTCTTCCATTGTGGGCTGCTAATACCACTCTGCTCTTTGACGCCTTAAGGAAATCAATAAATTCCTTCAAGCATTCTGTTATGTTTAAGGTTTGCACAGGCGTTGACTTGTACAGAAGCTGTCCAGCTACAACAGTTAATTTGTTTGCTTGTGAAGCTTGTGGCGATATTCCATACAGTGGTAATGCGTATCGGTCGAAACTTCTTTCATCTCCTGAAAATTGCACTGCAGACAGTTGACAAATCTCAGCATTTTTCAGACCTACAAAAAATAACTGAATTAAATGTCATCTGAAGAACTATTGAATGATAATATTTTCTGGGTGGCTCTGTATCTAACGATGTAGCCTTATTTGACATGACCACAGTATATAGGATTTCCATCAATGAAATAATCTTATAAGGCTTATGAAAAATGAAAATAATGCAAAATTATATTTTTCCTCTAAAGAGACACCTTGTGTATACACAAACAACAACAGAATTTCTTTGATCCAAGATAGCACCAGTGTTCTTTTTCTTTTGGTAATTTGTAGTATTTTGGAGACAGTAACCTTCATTAATATAATGTATTATTTTAGGGTATCCTTTCTGTTGTCTTTTGGCCAGTTAAAGAGAATTCCACGTGCATACCATTTTTTTGATTAAGAGGATCAAATGCTGGAGGACCTGTTACCTAAATTAGATGTTTCAAGGTCAAAGACAACTACTTCTGATTTTGTAATGTCCGCTGTACTTATAGGAATCGGTGCTGGTCGGTGCAAAGGGGTGGTTATTACTGTTAATTCTGGTTGGTTAGAGCTGAACTGGATACCACTTTGATAGCTTAATCCCTCCAGTATTTCTTGCTGCTGTACATCGGAAGTTTGACCCTTCTTTCTCTCTATTCTTCTCCTCTTGTGTAAAATGCTTGCCTCTCTTCTTTTTCTTTTTTTGTACTTTCTGTCCCGATTGTTGTTAAAACACAAAGTGAATTTTCCAGGGGAAAGATTGTTGGCTTCATTGATCTATAAATGCACATAATAATCAATGCATGTTAAATTATTCAGCATACCATTCTTTAATGTAGAGTATGTCCTTTCATCACAATAATAATTATTATGGTTTTAATCTGTTTTTGTTTCATAGTTTAACTTCATTGTTAATTTTCCAATGTCCCACTTTATAATACTTTTAATGAGTTAGTTAGACCTAGTTATGTTATTTGCATTGTTTGTTCAATGTTGAAATTACAAGTGCAAGTTTATCTGCATATCTCTTTGGTGCTTTTACAATAATAATTAATATCATGGGCACAAGAGATATTACATGACACAACAATAGCAGTCAGCTAAAGGGTACTGTAAATCACATGTTTGGTTTAAATGGAATATTGTACCTTACATACTGTTGATTTTCCACTGTTTTTGGTTGCTACGGCAAATGCTACCCTCCCTTCCAGACTAGAAGAACCAGAAAAGTGCAGACGTTTAGGGGCATGAACTGACACTGAGTTATTAAATGACTCATTGCTCTGGGTTGACCCAAGTGGGGCAAGCTTGTCTGCATAACCGGAAAAGAGCTCAAAAATCTGCAAGAGGTAAATGATATAAAGTCAACGCTGAGGCTATCATATATTATTATTCTGACAGGAAATTTCATACTACATTGTATACTGAGTCTATGTCATGTACACTTAATAGTTAACTTTCAAAAACAGAATTGTATTTAGTCTCCATGTACAAGTTTCTACTGCAAAAGAACAAAACTTTACTTTAAAGTGCTGGCACACAGGGGCTAATAAATTGAAATATTTATTATGTCACAGTATATTGAAAATCTTTTAGTCAAGCAAGTAGCTATCTGAAAACAGGGTTTCTTTTGAAAATAAGGATAGTACTGTTTGATAAAACGTTTCACTCAACCTGTTCTAGATCTGATTTAAGGTCATCCCCTTCTAGGTCTTTGCCATGAGGCAGCGACTGTTGTTTATATGTCTCTGGATTCTGGAGATATTTACACCATGACTCCTGACACAAACTGTGGTCACCAAAAGCATGCTTTGGAATCACCCTGCAGCCCTGGCGTATGCCTTCTGCATCTCCTTTGTTTTGGGTTAGAACGTAACCAAAGCATTTAACAAGATAATCATTCACTGTTTTTGTCACCAGCTTGTGGGTTGCGGATAGCCTTGCAAGATGACCATACAAGGCTTTCTTGGCGTGCCCTACATCTGACCAGATGCCAATTTGTTTACTCACATTATCATGGATGTGAGATATTGTAGTTGTATCTCCATCCATGATAATGTTTTCAATGTGGTATTCCGTCGCCTGTTGTTTGCCTGGTAGTTTGACTTCTCCTCTCATATTTTTCGTCAGCTCCACCCCCATGGAAGGCTCCATTGATTTCGAAGAACCTACAACAGAAATAATGTTTACTGTAGTCCTGTCAATAATGAATTTTAATTTCAATAGCTGCTATACATAACCCACTGCAAGAACAGCTCCATGAAATGCCCAACAGTATCCTGTAGACCTGGTAAGAATGACAACAGTAAAATTAAGTGGGGAAGACCTAGTGGCTAAGGCAGTCTATATTTAGGTGGGGCCTTCAAAGTCAAGTGATAGGTAATTAAACATCTTTATTAAAGCCACCCCAAGCAACAAATGTCACTGGATTTCAATGATAAAAAGCCCATAAAGACAAACAGTTGGAAGACCTTTTTCTTGTAAGCTGGTAAGTATTGTAGTTAAATATAAAGACAAGACAACTGTACACACCAGACCAGTTTCTTGAACATTGGTGTTTCCGTGGTTGTTTTTTCCTTCTCTTTGCATTTTCACAGACTCGACAACTTTTACATCTAACAGTGTAACTCAGCACTTTTCCTGTCCTTGCACCAATCAGTGTAGAATGGCCTAACATAAAATTAATACAGACTTGAAGTAATAATGCATGACAGTGGGTGTGTTGAATAATTAACATATAACATATACCTACAACCTAATACAAGGTTCCAGACATATGCCTTCCATAATACCTAATCTGTATGGTATCAGCATGTTAAAAAGACTTGAAAATGTATTCCTTGCTATATCTTGCCGTTTGATTGATATGCCCTTTCCATCAGATCAACACAACTCTCAGTGCATCAAAGAGGTATGCGGACCGCCGAGGAAACGGTGGTATCGGTGAAATAGCCGATAATATTGTTTTGGCTTGTTTTCGTTTGTATTTATCCAACTATTTTCCTGATTTTGATAACAAACCTTACTAAACAGAATCTGTGTACCATCTAATCGTGATTTTACTTACCTGATAAACTATTGTATGCTCTTCCAGATCCACGCTTTTGCCATCCAGCATCAAAACTAGTGTTTATTTTTGCTTCGTTTCTGTATCGAAGAAGACCAATAATTCAGCTTATTTTGAAAACAAGTTCTCAGTATGCCAAAGGTTTCTTCTAAACGAAATTTTCGAAGATATTTGAGTGTTTTGTATTTTAGTATGCCATCGCTTTCGTGCGCCCCGGCGATGGCCTCACTTGACAGACTTTTTTAGCGGAGCTCTGGCGCGCGAAGCGCGCCTGCGGAGCACCATGGGTAAGTAAATCTACCCATCCCAGAAAATTTGGTAATCACGTGACCGTACACCGCCCTCAGCCCGCCCGTCCGTCCGCACCACAGGGAAACCAGTGTTTAATCCTCACACTTTCTAGCCAGTTTGGGAGCACAGGAAGACTGATATTGCACACATATATTGCACATCAGTGCTGTGATCAATTGACAGCTGTCAAAACAAAGTATCCGCTGACCAGTATCACCTGACCGTATCGTGGGCTCAGGTGTCGACCCATGGAGGTCGAATATCTTTTTGAAGTTATCCGCTGACAAGTTACTAGTTTTCAAATGATCGCAGGCTCAAGTTTATTTTTTTTTAATTCATATGAAATATGTTGTGTTTTGTACGTGCCGCACAATTAAAATTTTGATTTCAAACTGACCTCGGAAGCTAAAATTCAGCCAGTTTTTACAGGCAGGGAAGACATGCCAGTTGCTTTTGACTTTTCTCACCAAGGTCACGCGTTGGTCACGCTCTACGTCCAATTGTTATGCTCTGATTGGTCAAAATTTGACAGGTGAGCTCATGCGGAAAATTTATGCAGCATCTTGAAACTTGTTTACTTTGCTGAAGTTGACAGAGTTTTCTGTCAACTTGTGATGTTTTTAACTGTCTTTTTCCACTGAATGTACAAAATGAAATTCAGCTGCTATCAAGAGTCTTCTGTTATTCATGGCTAGTTTGTTTACTGGGGTTTTGGTTGAAAAATACGTCGCTTGTCAAAGTCGGAAATCCGATTTCGGATGGCATCGTTTTCGTTTCACCTTGCTTGATGCGTAAGAGGGTTGAAAAGTCTGAAGCGATTCTGGCCTTACTTGATAGTTTTCAGTGCATCTCGAATGGTAAGCCTGAGAAATTATTGTATTTGACGTTTGTCTTTTAAATCTAATTTAATGAAGTCGAGCGTAGTTTATGCGGCTATTTAGTTTATGCACGTTTTTAATTGTAAGATTTGAGACAATGATCTGACCGAGTATTAGGTTTGATTATAAGCTTATAGAACTTTAAAAAGCCTTTAGACATTTTCTCACCGCAAATAGAAAGAACACGTTCCAAAGAATATTTAGTTATAATTGTGGCTGTAAAAGAAAGCTTTGAGCGATTTTCTTGCCTCGAGTTCATCTTTGGAAAAGCAAACACCGGGCAGCCGGCTTACCGAATGAAAAACATAAACAAGGATTTTCAGAGACACTTTAATACTTGTCTTTGTGAATGAAAATTGTTGTCTCTGTATATGTTTCACCGAATTATTTTCGTTTTATTGATCGTTAGTAGTCTCTTTTGCAATTTTTATCGCTGTGCCGTTTGTTTTCCGTCGCTCATGAACATCTCTTGCATGCTGGAGTACTCAAAATGCCGCACTTATCAAACGCTTTTGACGATTACACATCGTTATAAAACCATTAAATAAAAAATAAACCTAATAAATTCTTTATTATGTTGCAGCGTATAACTCTTAAACAGTCGATTTTGGCACTTGTCAAAAGTGAGAACCGGCTAGCCGTATAGGTGATTTTGGTAATTTTTTTAACGGTTTCGCTAAAACCCACACGTGCTTCGATCGTCCTGAATATTGAGTGAGTGCAATTTGTATTGCAAACTTGTGAAATACTGCATTCTGTTCGAGGTCTGTATGATAAAAACAGCGCCTCTTGTTACTGTTTCACCTCAGATGTGATGTATAAAAAGTATAAAAGGTTGGGTTACACGTCCCCAGACTTGTTGGCAAGATTTTGTAAAGTAAACTGGTCGAACGAATTCGGCCTGATTTGTTTTCCAAGAATTTGTTTTCCAGGCCTAATCTACTGTGATCAAGAGCCCGCGCTCTTAAATGTGATCGAAGATGATTGCTATTTTTTGGGTGTACATATAAGGCTATCAACTCGATGTAAGATTAAGTTCACTCTTATCTTGGACTGTTTGCAAATTACTTTTCTCTAAAATCACTTAACCTTTCCCTCAAAAGTCACATGAATGTGCTCTAAAGTTAACTGAATTGTGGAAAATAAGTTTATTGTTTGATTTAAATTATAAATTCGAGTTAATATATAGGAGCTTCGCTTTTAGCCCTGGCTAAATCTATATATTAAATTATGGCTGGCGGGCTGTCTTCAAATGAAATTTACATTTGATAACAGAACCTTGCTAACATGTTGTCCTAATGTTAATGTTAGAAAAAAATACGTGTACTTTTATATTTACTTACTCTGTATGGTCTGCGGAATCCATAATAGCCTCCACTTCTTCCCTTACAGCTCTTTCACATGTTTCAGCGGCGACTTTATCGATGCCCTGTTTTGCCTCCTCCTCGCGGATTTTATAGGCGCTTTTTGACAGCCGTGGAATGTTGAGAGACGTTAGAAAAACATTCATTCCCGTGGCTCCAAACCCAGCGTTTATGGATCCTATTGCACACGAGAAAAGCGAAACAATATTCTTTCAAAATGACCGCAAAAAGAGTTAGCGCGTGCGACGGTATCAGGAACGCGCGACCATGTTTACCTTGAAAGGGTTTCCTGCATGCAAACACTTACTGAGGGAAAACATGGGAGGGGGGGGGGGGAATGCTATAAACCGACGATAAGAAAAACGTGTTGCAAACCTGTTGCGGCCTTTGTATTGATGTCCCATATTGGACGTCCGACTCTCTTTTTCCCTGGACTTCTGTGCGTCTTGCCGGTTTTGATCGCATTCACTTGACAACAATCCTCGCACAGTATGTACAAAACTGACCCCAGACCTTGAAGCGTTTCATCTACGATGTTTGTCAAATTTAATTTTGTTTTGCACTCACTGCAACCCTCTGTCAACTGGTCTACTAAAAACCCTATTTCTACTATTCTTCTCCCATCTCTCCAACCAGCCGAATCCCTCTCTTTTTCACCACTTTTTCCCGGTGTTTTCGATTTTTTTTCGTACTCCGTTAAAGAAACTCTTTTTTGCTTGCTTTTGGTAGAGCTGAATCTCCCGTTGCGTTTTCTTTTCCTGTCCATTGCATTGCATTAGGAGTTACTACTTCCAGTGTATGTAGAAAGCGCAAAAGCCAATGTTGCGAAAGAGCATTGCGAAAGTAAATTAAAGTTAACCCGCGCGTCCCTTGTTTCGCGGGGGAAGTCCCGAAATGCGCAGAAAATGTGCGCAGTAACAATAGTGGGCACCGTCCTTAAGAGGGCCTACACCAAGAAGAACAATATTATAACAAAAACAATAATCTTGTTGATCAATTATTATTACTAATAGCCTTTTTTGAGTACGATAGTATACCAGAAAGATACCACATGCCTGCAATTGCTGTGATCATAATTTATTGTTTTAGAGGGAGGCATGCAAGGTTTTTGCTTACGGGATTTCAGGGGTGGTAACAGCACACCTACACTGTATGACAGAGTGCATTGTTGCTTATAGGGGATTGTGAAACTTAATGACAGCAAACTTAATTTGCACAGATAAGCAAAATTGCATTGCCAGTTATTTTCTCTCTGTGTGGTAGGGGATAGACAGTTCAATTACATGTGAAGGACTGGAAGTATATTTTTTGCCAATTTTCCCTTGGCAAGCCTTAAAATCCATATTGTAAGACAGCTGTGCATAAGGGATATTTGCATTATTTGATTCTAGGATCCTTAAAAGTTGTAAGGAGAGGGGGTCTTCATGGCCAAAACAAACAAAAAGTATTTTATATGAAACTTGAATGAAATTTCTACCTGGTAGGGAGTTGTTGGGAGAAAATGGCCTCCCTGGAAAAAGGAAGAATATTTTTTGTTCTGTAATATGAAAATTTCATCTTAAGACTTGCACTTTTTGTTACTAGAAACAATACATGTAAGCGATGGGACCAAAATTTGAAGGTTACTGCAATAATTCACTTCAGTAGAATGGTTTTTCTGTTTCCTAATAACAATGTTTTTACTCTGTAACTTTTTAATAAGGTTGACAGTAGTCTTCTTTTATTACAATGTTGGATAGCATGCCTGAGGGGGAGGGGTATGTACCTGTAGCTGGTGGGGCAAAAGGGAGTATCCAACAGAGAGTTCAAACCTTTTTAGGACAAACAGTCACCCAGTGCAGCTTTGAGTGAGCCAGTGACCATTTTTTTTTCTTTTGGCCATACATGGACAATTTTTTTATTTTTTGTCTTATACTTCACTTTAAATTTTTTCCTGTGTTTTTGGGTATGAAAATGTATGATAATGAGTATGACACAAAGGAAACTAAAATTATCCAGGGATAAAATTGAACCATAATAATAATGATATACAGCTGTGTATAATTAGTATGTATACAACAGTTTTTCTTCTAGTGTTAAAGGAAATACTGAAATTTTATTCACCTACTTTATTTGATTGATCAATGATATTATTATTGTTCTAAAAAAAAAAATCAAAATATTTTCAATAAATTACATGTATGAATTTTAGAAACGTGCAAACCAGCCCTGAGACATTCAAGCTGTATTTATTTCCTTTTTCCAAAAAAATATCCACATTCCTTGTTATTGACTAACGTCCTTTGATCCTGTATTTGGCTCAAAATCTTAGTGCTTAGATTCACAATGCATTTTTGATTCTTTTCCAGTATCTACTGAAAAATACAGTCAAATATATACCATCTCTTCTTAGTTGTATCCTTGACAACAGGCTTTCAATGCAATGTTCAAATTGTTTTAACACACAATCCCCCAACAAGTGAAGGTGTAGGAAATATTGGGTAAATGTAGATAATTATAAACATCTTTTTTGTGTCAAAAAGTGTTTACACTCCTATTTCAATCTTCAAACGGCTTGATTTGCATAAAAAGAGTGTTTTTTTTTTATTGTTCAGTAGCTCTCGGCTCAAGTTCATATCTTGATCCCATCAATGTATCTTCAGTTTTTACCAGAGGTTTCAGTGGTTTCAAAACAAGCCAGTGACCACCGGAGTTCCATCGGCTACTTGATTGTATGTTGAGGGGGGCGTAAGGGGGGTACGAATACCGCAATACCGCACATGGTTGCGCGAGAATACCGCAATACCGCATCAAAATTTAGCCAAATACCGAAACCGCAGTTACAAATGGGAAAAAGTTGACGTTGTCAATACTAAAAATCATCCTTTCAAATAGAAAGAATACTTTTATGTCAGTGTTTCTAAACTAAGGTGCGTCGATGTCAAGCGTACGATAAACATAGGATCATCTCACTCGTTTAACTTTGTTCATTACATGTATACGTTTACATAAATGATACAACAGGAGTTTTCTAGTATTACTTTATATATCACTGACCTAGATCATAAACGGACTGTAAACAGTTGACTCTTATGAGGTTGTTTCAGATTCACAATTAACTCGGTTCTTTGTTGAGGATTTAAAAACGTCGACCCGGGCGGCCTTTGGGATTCGAAGGGCACACAGCACACACTAGCCTGCGTAGCATGGCGGTTTTGGTTGGGCTCGCTAAATAATTAAGGCCGGCGCGGGCGAGGAGATTGGGGCGGGAGCTGCTTCGCCGCTCACAGTCTTGCTGCCGGCAAAACCACGTAAAACTGCCATGCCCGGAGGAGTACTTGGGTTAATTCTTGCTTGGTATGTGCCGCTGGCCTCTCAGAGCCCCTACCCCATTATAGTCTATTCAGTGGCCAATTATAGACCCCATCTTAGTCACTTTTGGACAAATATTTAATTTTCGCGATCCCAACTTGGTCACTTTCTATTTTAATGAAGTGACCATTTTTTTAGATTGAATGAAGAACACTTTACTTTTCATCTACAATACAAACATTCTGGTACGTTTGCTAACCGTAAATATATATGAAGAACTGTCTTACCCCAAAAGAGCAGAAAATGTGCGACCCCATATTAGTAACTCTCTGAAAATGCGACCCCATCATAGTCAATCCAGTCGTGAAAATGCGACCCCATCCAGCGGCACATCCCTACTAGCCTCTTATAAGGAAGTAACCCCGCTCCCCGGGCCCCCATGCTACGTAGGCTAAGCACACACGAATACTAGTACATTCTATATTCCTGCATGCACAACGAGAAGGACGAGTAATAATTTTTAGACCACACCATCTTCACAGATTATCTTTCGACACTACGCAATTTATAACGACCTCACTGACCTCACTATTTGCTGGAATATCTGACTGATCACTTAGTTGACCCTCTGGATCGCTCGCCATTGTTTTACGACCGGCACGAAAGTGGCGGTAAGATTGGTAAGGTGGTTAACCAAGCTGACTATTCCCACAAGGTCCATGAGGTTATAAATAATGCGACATGTTTACGTATCATTGGATAAAAAAAGTCAATGTCGTTAATCCTATCAAGTATTAACTGAAATTACAAGCCATACGATTTGTCTGGACTGTTTGCGCAATATACGATCCCCGACTGTGCAACTATAGGAAGACACGCAGGTCACGCAGGCTAGCTAGGGAGACCTTTTAGGATTTGTATCCTCTTGTCATGAAAAAGAAGCAGCTCACCGCGACACAACGATTTTTTCACCGCCTACCGCGACATAAAATTTAAACTTACCGCACACCGCTTGGACTCTGAAAACCGCAATACCGTACTTTGAAACAAAAATTACCGCAAAACCGCACCAAAAATAACCCAATACCGCAATACCGCAAACCCTTACGCCCCCCTCTATGTTGCCAGCAATTCCAGTGCCCCCAGCCTCCAGATTCGGCTGCCTACTTTAAAACATTTTGAAACCCCTGAGGGTTATCTACTGAAGGTGAGCTAGTACAATTTTACAAAGGAACCCTACCAAAGGATCAGAAAGCCAGGCCAAGTAGTGTAGGGTAAAGACTGATCATCTCAAAACCCACTCCCTATTCCATGGCACATACCTGTACAGAAGTACCATTACCTTCTCCCTGGGTGTTAAAGTAACAGTAAAGAGGGGTTTCAGGTGTAGCCTCTTGTCTTTGTTTTATTTTTCTGATTTGCTACAACCTTTGCTCCTTTGTAGGGAAAGATGGTTTGGCAAGAGAAAAGCGGAAGACAGTTTGATCAAAGGATTTATTTATTCACATTTTGCTATTCCATCTGTTAAGAGGATTTTCTAACCAGGCGCGGGTTGCTCGAAGCATGGTTAGTGCTAACCAGCGTTAAATACCATGTGAACCTATACATTTTGATACCTCTTGACCAACGGTTAGCGCTAACCAGGCTTCGAGCAACCGGCCCCAGATCATTAAAATAGTCTGGAATTTATTAAAGCTGAAAATAAAAAGACATGCTTTTCTTGTGGTTCCTTTAAAAGACAGCCTTAAATAAATTGCAGGTCTGAAAAATGGAGTTGTAAATAAGCTCATCTGGCTATGTTAATTTTTGATAATCTTTTTTTCCATCAAATTTAATTACTAGTAAAAACCTGCAACCAAGAACCTGTATTTTCCCAAGTTAGCCTAAACAAGTCAGGTTCTTAAAGAAAAACTAATTAGCACAGATTTAGGCTATTTAGGTTCAGTCTCAAATAGGTCCTTACTTTCTGAAAAAAAAAATACTTTGTAGCTTTGAGCTAAAAGTATTTAGTGGCATTCAGCTCTTTCCTTGGTATATGTAAAACCTGTAAGCCATCACATTGCAGTCAGAGTAATAATAAATATTATTAGACACCTATGTCTCAAAAGAGGACCCTGAATGTTGACTTATCTTACTTTCCCAAGTGTACACTGTGTAGAAGCTTTTTCTAAGAGATTTTATAAATAATGGTAATAGGACTGAGGGGAGTCCAATTCAGTCTGTAATCATACAAGTGTTACAAACTTGGACAACCGCGAAGCAGGAGTCAGATTTGTTTAATCGTGAGTATGATTACAGATTGAATTGGACGACACAGAGTCCTGTTACCAATTAATAATTATAACCATTACAATTTCCAAGAAAATAGATGCATTCCTTTTCGGTGAAAGTGTGTTTGTTCATACCAAATGTCCAAAGTAAGGGAAAATATCACTGGTGGAGACACTGCCTAAATGTTGCATATTCATCCATTTTGGATTTATCCCCAGTTTGTTTGGGTAAGTGATTGTTGCTATGGTTATCATGATAACTTCTGTGATTGGTGGATTTAGCTAAGTGCATTTAATATGATTGGCTAACATAACTGTCCGATTACAGGCAACTATACACAATGATTTAAGAAAAATAAAGCAGTTAATGTACCAATCAAATTTGAGGAAATTGTAATGGTTATGATTAATAACCTGTTTCAAATTTGAGTGCTCTTTTATAAAGACAGCCTAACTGGAAAATTTTAGCCTGACAGGTTCTTAAAAACCAGTTTCTCAGTTGTGGATTTTTCCTGTATCCTTGTTGAGCTTAATACTGCACATCACTATGCTGGATGTCAGCCAATCCCTTTTTTCTTTCTCCATGTCAATGAGGTCAGATAGGGATTTACATTTGGTCTTCTAGACCATGGTGCCTTTAATAGAAAGCTTTTTTCTCCTAATCAGGATCATATTAACCATCCTTTACTCTGACTGATTAATTGAGGAATGAAGAACAATAAGGGATGAAGTTGTCATAACACAACCACTAACTCCTTTCCACAGGAGGAACAGAATGCTTAGGGATGGAAAATAAACATGAGAAACTGACTGAAGTATAGAGAGTATTCACATGACGTCACGGTGGCCATATTGGTGTCCCAAAATAATGAAACAGAGACCATGTTGGTGTCCCAAACTAATAAGCCAAGTGAGTGAATACTCTCTATTAAATTCAAGGTTAGTTTGGTTTCCTATAGTTGCATCTAGGGTGTTTGCCTTCGTATCTCCAAGGGAAATATGTGCAGCACAGCCTCCCTCCCCCCTCCCCCCCAGAAACCTTGATTTCTTCAAAGCTGCTTAGTGCAAGATCATTAGTTTCAGTCTTTCCTGTGAAGTTTTTTAAGTCTTACAAAAAAAACTACAGTTAACACATTCTAGTTAAAATTTGCTGATCCCTGACAAGAAAGTGAATGTCAGGGAAACAGACACTTAGCCTTGAGGTCCTTGAAAGAGAGTTGGCATGTAAAGTCAAGAAATGTCTTACCAAGGACCAGCTTCGAAGCACACTACTGTACACTGGCTTAGACACTGTCAGAGGATTCCATCTAAACAGAATTGACATCCTGAACCAGCTCAACATGATTTCAGTGTCTTCTGTTGCTGCAGATTTTCCATAAACCAGAAAAAGTGTATTCCTCGAAATGCCAGCATTCTTCCTTCCTTTTAACTTATTTGACACTAGTCTTAGGGGATTATAAAGCGTATTTAGCTTAGGTTAAAGAGTTTTAGGGGGGTCAAGTATACAGTTTGGGGGATTTCTATGCGTAGTAGCGACTTTGATGCAAAAACGTTTTGAAACGTTTTCTATCGATCAAACGATCGTGTGTGTGTGACTCTGTTCTTTGTGGGTATGTGTGTATGTTTTTAGCCATGTCATGTGTCCTTTTCACCTGGGAATAAACCCTTTACCTGCAGTAAAACTCCACATTTTTAGCCCTATCGGACTTAACGCTTTGTGAGTGTCGATCGCAAAATCCAAGATGGCGGCTACGTGGAAGAAAGTGCTCGTGTGATAACTTTGTCAGTGATAACTTAACTCTAAACTACCAAAATAGTGAGAAGCTTTGCTCTACAGGATATAAGACTCAAATTGACCCATGATAGATCGCTCAGGTCATGACTACAAGGATTATACTGAAAAAGGTGTTTCCTTGGCGGTCCGCTATAGTAAATGTATGGGATTTTAGTACTCTAGTAAAAGACACAAGAAATAAAGGTTTTAAACATATTTTATTCACAATGTTATGAACAAAAATGCATTATGCATACGAAGGATTAAATCTGAATCCACTGCGTGACTGTCTAGCTAAATAATCCTGTGTAGCGAGTTTGTTTAGTTCGTCCCGGAAGTGTCTTCGTTCGTCTTCGGTGGAGTAAATGTCCTCCTCAGAGCTTTCTCTTATAACCTTGGCTTTATAGACAGCTGGTTTTCTTGACCTTTTCACTGTCGGTTTACTTTGTGTCTTAGGCAATGTTTTAACTTTCTTCGCAGACTGTTTTACTGATGCTGTTTTCGCTTTCTTTGCGGGTGGCTTTTCGTTCTCAGGTTTACGTTTAACAGATTGCTTCGGTAATCGACATTCGACTTTACCTGTAACGGATGGTTGTACGTCTGTGGTAGCTTGGGTTATCTCTGACTGTGTACTGATGTGTGGATAGCTTTTGCACTTTCCAAACACCTCGGAGACCACTTGTTTCTCACTCGTGGTTTTCGGTTGGTTGTCGATCAAAATATACCCATAAGGCTTCGCTGTTTCTTTAGCATACGCAGACATAAAGTTTTTGCGATCCTTTGCAAATGTTCGCTCTGCGATAATATCTATTTGCTTCCGATCACTAGGGCTTCGAAACAACACCACATACTGTGCATTTCTACTGATGTCTGTGTTGTATTTTCCTTTCGGAAACATGTTCTGTAGGAGTAAAATGACACTCGCATTATGATGTCTGCCTTGTGTAAACAGCTGTGATAACACAGGACTATCTATGGCTTGAGACATCAAATCATCAAACACCAATATATTGTTATACTCAGGATTGATTTCATTGAGATCTTCGCTTAGGTCTGGTAACCCTTGGGTAAATTGAATCCTCTTTTTTAGCGCTCGTTTCAATGCATCATACCTTGGTTGCCATTGATTATAGAACCAGTAAATCTGTGTAGATTTCTCACTTGGGTACTTGATACAATTCTTGGTTAATACTTGTTGCACGAAGTAAGTTTTCCCACATTGCGTCGGTCCTACTACAAGCATGGAAAACGTGTGATGAAACTTAAACTCTGGGTAAGGCTGTGTCTCTAAACACTGACTTGTTTGGACTTTGACTGTTTTAGACTGTTTTGGTTTTATACTTTGAGACAGATTAGGTGATGGAAGGTAGTTGATTTCTCAATACTTGATAGAGGGAACGTTGCGTTCATAGTATATTGTGGTATTCCATGTTGAAAAATGTGAGGGGAATACAATCCTTGAGGTTGAACTCCTGGCAATACTGATGGAGTCACTTGATGAGAAAATATCGCTGCCTTTAATAGTGGTTGTCGTTCCTCACACGATAACTTATGCACTTGACGTAAATGATCAGCTAAGTAAAGCAAATCCTGTCTATAACATAGAGGACACACTCGTCTAAACTTGTAGGGCATGTTAACGCAACGAGGTCTTAACACAAATGAAAGTGATGCACAAGTGTTTGATTTCTATTTATAGGATTCAGGACGATGATAGGCCGGTATAGGCCGGTATAGGCCGGTATAGGACGATGTAGGCTGTTATAGGCCGGTATAGGACGATAAAACCACACATAAGATTTTTTAAGTTGCAAACTTTTACATCACTTAAACATTTTAATTGTCGACTTTTACTGCAACCTAGTTCTCCTCATTGAAAGACAACTGTATAAGCAAACCTCCATTCAAGTCTTGTTTCATAGTAAGCTGATCCGCTAACCCGTCCATGATTTCATCCATTTTGTTATGAGACCACCGATCTACTCGGAATTCACACGTATAGATCACATCCCAATGTTCTCTGGAGGAGACTTTGATTTTAATCTGGGATGTCTTAAAAGGTTTTGTTAGCTCAATAATGTCATTCATCCCATGGTATATAGGATACACTATTTCAAAGTCCATATTTCTCACACCTTCTTTTGACGGAGGCTTTTGGGTTATGTCAACCACATACAAAGTAGATCCGAATATTTGGGTATAACTGACTTTAAACAAGGGGTCATCCAATGCTAGCTCCATCCAATGCAGATTTTCCTTGTTCTCAGGGTACATTTCTCTCTCTTTTTGCTCATGTTTAGTCCACCTTTCCTCTAAATCTTTATCCCATTCACTCTGTTCTACGGGAGTCCATGCGTCATACGTTCCTACCCTCATGATAACTTGTGTTAAATGAATGATATTTTTACACTGACTATTCTTTTATGTTTTCAGGTCTCACCTCAGACTATAAATTGACATAGTTCTCACGTTAAGGTATCATTTTTATCTCACATCTTGTATGGGAAATATGTCTGCACTCGAAGAAACTCCCGCTGTCTCTGAACCTATCAAAGAAAATAATCCTCCCACTGTGTCTGAACCCACTGAGAAAAATATGGAAACTACAGTAAAAAGCAAGAAACCTACACTAAAAAGTTATGTTCAGTAGCTCTCGGCTCAAGTTCATATCTTGATCCCATCAATGTATCTTCAGTTTTTACCAGAGGTTTCAGTGGTTTCAAAACAAGCCAGTGACCACCGGAGTTCCATCGGCTACTTGATTGTATGTTGAGGGGGGCGTAAGGGGGGTACGAATACCGCAATACCGCACATGGTTGCGCGAGAATACCGCAATACCGCATCAAAATTTAGCCAAATACCGAAACCGCAGTTACAAATGGGAAAAAGTTGACGTTGTCAATACTAAAAATCATCCTTTCAAATAGAAAGAATACTTTTATGTCAGTGTTTCTAAACTAAGGTGCGTCGATGTCAAGCGTACGATAAACATAGGATCATCTCACTCGTTTAACTTTGTTCATTACATGTATACGTTTACATAAATGATACAACAGGAGTTTTCTAGTATTACTTTATATATCACTGACCTAGATCATAAACGGACTGTAAACAGTTGACTCTTATGAGGTTGTTTCAGATTCACAATTAACTCGGTTCTTTGTTGAGGATTTAAAAACGTCGACCCGGGCGGCCTTTGGGATTCGAAGGGCACACAGCACACACTAGCCTGCGTAGCATGGCGGTTTTGGTTGGGCTCGCTAAATAATTAAGGCCGGCGCGGGCGAGGAGATTGGGGCGGGAGCTGCTTCGCCGCTCACAGTCTTGCTGCCGGCAAAACCACGTAAAACTGCCATGCCCGGAGGAGTACTTGGGTTAATTCTTGCTTGGTATGTGCCGCTGGCCTCTCAGAGCCCCTACCCCATTATAGTCTATTCAGTGGCCAATTATAGACCCCATCTTAGTCACTTTTGGACAAATATTTAATTTTCGCGATCCCAACTTGGTCACTTTCTATTTTAATGAAGTGACCATTTTTTTAGATTGAATGAAGAACACTTTACTTTTCATCTACAATACAAACATTCTGGTACGTTTGCTAACCGTAAATATATATGAAGAACTGTCTTACCCCAAAAGAGCAGAAAATGTGCGACCCCATATTAGTAACTCTCTGAAAATGCGACCCCATCATAGTCAATCCAGTCGTGAAAATGCGACCCCATCCAGCGGCACATCCCTACTAGCCTCTTATAAGGAAGTAACCCCGCTCCCCGGGCCCCCATGCTACGTAGGCTAAGCACACACGAATACTAGTACATTCTATATTCCTGCATGCACAACGAGAAGGACGAGTAATAGTTTTTAGACCACACCATCTTCACAGATTATCTTTCGACACTACGCAATTTATAACGACCTCACTGACCTCACTATTTGCTGGAATATCTGACTGATCACTTAGTTGACCCTCTGGATCGCTCGCCATTGTTTTACGACCGGCACGAAAGTGGCGGTAAGATTGGTAAGGTGGTTAACCAAGCTGACTATTCCCACAAGGTCCATGAGGTTATAAATAATGCGACATGTTTACGTATCATTGGATAAAAAAAGTCAATGTCGTTAATCCTATCAAGTATTAACTGAAATTACAAGCCATACGATTTGTCTGGACTGTTTGCGCAATATACGATCCCCGACTGTGCAACTATAGGAAGACACGCAGGTCACGCAGGCTAGCTAGGGAGACCTTTTAGGATTTGTATCCTCTTGTCATGAAAAAGAAGCAGCTCACCGCGACACAACGATTTTTTCACCGCCTACCGCGACATAA